CAGAAAAATTTTCGCCAAAATTTCGACTTTTCATTAGGAGAACATGATATGCAAAGAGGTAGGACTGAAAATTTTTCGCTGATTTCAGTTTTGCCTAAGCTTTAAAATTTCTTCCCAGAATTTTTTTATAGTTCTTTGAATTGATATATTTAATTCTTAGATTTTCTGAAATCCTTAGAAATGAAATTTCAAGAATTTTTGAAATTTTTGATTAAATGAAGTACCTGCGTACTTGCTTTTTATTCTCTTCATTTTTGTGTTTTCTTGTTTTTTGAGTAGTTTTCTTATTTCTAAGTATACTCACCTTTGCGTTGTTGTTTTTATATCTTTCTAATAAGAATAAGAATGTAGTTTCAGATAGATGCATTACAATTGATGGTATATTTTCTAATATTTAAAATTACAATATTCTAAGGAATTGTGGAAGGATGGTGATAATGGTAAATATAAAATAAAACAAAATATTCATAAAAAATAAAATTTATTAATAAAACTGTACATATATTTTATTATTTACATTGTTATTCTATAAAATTTACAATTTTACTGTTTATTTTATATGAAAATAAAATTTATCATTGATACAATTTTTCTCATTATAATATAATTCAAATACAATTTTTTTTCATTGTAAAATGATAAATTTTATTTTATGTGAATATAAATATAAAAAAATGCTACTAATGCTTATTATAATATAGGAATTTATTTTTCTTAAAATTAATGTAGACACTATATTATATTTCATCTCCAGCGAATATAAATATAAATAACGCATTACATAAAATTATAAAACAAGTTCCAAGCAATTAATATCTTTTTATTTTAACATAACTTCCTTCCTAGCCGTGAATAGTGGACTTGCGTTTGCCATACAATAGCCTGGGTCGCTGCATATATCACGCGCTTTACACACAAGTGTTTTGTTTATCTGCACTGACTCTACTCGTCCAACTATATATAGAATAGTGCCTGTTTGTACAGCAAACTCTCCAAAGCTCCAAAATTTCACTCGAACAATACTCGAAATCCTTTGCTAAAGAATTCTTCGAACGAGGTCAATCCTGAAGACTTCCATATCCAACTTTTCTTCTCGTCCAAAAATGTATTCCATTACTGTTCATAAATGTCAGGTCAGTATCATTGTGTAATATACGGTGGTCTGGCATAATTCTTGTCCAAAGAATGACCAAGAAGAATAAAAAGAAATATGACAAGAAGATCCAATGCACGCCGCTTCAGGCAAACCGTGACGATTAATTATCACGGCCCAACTGTCACGGCCTCTGTGAAATCATTAATTTCTTCTGGAAATTTTAGCGCGAATACCGCTTCGTTCCCGCCACCACGGATGTGTATGCGCGTCAGGGAAGCGCGAGATTCCACGTTGGATATTAGGTTGAGGTAATTACAGCCATTAGTTCGCGTATACATCAATTATCGATGACACGATGACATGAATCTGCCGCTTGGAGGCATCCCTCACGATGGAAATGCTTGGGCGCTCTCTAAGCATGCATCATCCGCGCAGAATCGTTACCCAATGTGTGTTGTCCACGTGTCTCGTATTTTCCATTGATTAATAATTTCGCGATTGAGGCACATAGATTTAATGAATGAACGAATATATTTTTGTGTGGAATATAATTTAACGTAAAAGAAGTGGATGGATATATATCTCTAAAATAAATGAGAAAATTGTTATTATTTTTATGATGAAAAAATATGTGATGAAATAAATAATTATATATAAAAAATATCTATAAACATGTATCAAGAGTGAATGATTGTTGTGAGTTGAAATTGAATGTGTGCTGAATTAAATTTAAAGTTATGCATTTGTATAAGTATGTATTATAGAATTTATGTATATTTGGGTCTGTTTTTACACAGTGAATGAGCATAAAAAAAAAATCATATAAAAAAGTGATATAATAATTGGTTTGCAAATAAAATATAAAACTTGTTTTAAAATAAAACGGACTATCTAAAAAACAATTGAAAATATAGAAATACATTTGATTTGTATTATTTGTATGACTATATATCATGTAAAAATAAACTGTGTAAAAAAAGACCCAACAATATATATAATTCTATTAAATTTTGATTCTGGACAATCATTTCCAGAATCAAAAATTGAGAATGCTATGACTTTTATAAATTGATACATATTTATAATTTTTCTTTCTGTAAATAATGTAAAAATAATTATTTTAATAAATAAATATTATTTACTTACATTTGTTTTATTTTTCTCCCCTGCCAAGAAAAAACTTTGTAGTTATCTAGTATTAATCGTTCTATCTTGATATTTCGAATCATGGTCGTTTATAAGCTCAGATAAAAAAGAAAAATAAGCGGGCAGATCATTTTTTTCTAAGGGCAGAAGATTACTCGAATCTCGATGAAAAGCTCATTAGTCCAAGTAAAAATTAGAAACGCGTAACTAAAATGCATCTAATGGCGGTTGGGCCCCATTTCTTTATCGCGTCATTAAGAACCAATTTCGGCGGCTTCTATTAATCATGTCAACTTGAAACCTCAAGAGATCAGTATGGTATCTATGACCATGGTTATTGGTCAATTTTCTTTCAGAAATATATCATTTAACAATAAAACTATTACTCTTATAAATTTCAAATAAAAAATATAAATGTTCTTGCACAATTAATATTTGCAAAAATGTTGTTCATGTTCTCGTTACATATCCAAAAAATTTATCCTTTCTCATAAAAAATTTATCCCTCTTTGAAATTCTGAAATACAAAAAAAAGTTACGTATTTAAAAAATTCAAAGTGTTATTAAACAAATGAGTTATTTATAAAATTATTTCATCCGTTCCTTCTCTAGTATCATGCAATTTCCATGTCAAATAATTTTTTTTGCAGCATACTTTAGAAGTCATTCAAAATGAACTCAAGTGACTCAACTTTACAAGTTGCCATTTTTAATTTAAATACAAATAAGTAACCTGTCATTCTCAAGATGTCCACTGGCCATCTGTTGTTATAAAATTCCGCAATTAGTCAACACGATAATGGTTTCGTGTTCTTTGCGCGTCTCTTTAAATTCTCTCGATGCATGCTCATCAACGATACTCTTCTTGTTCTTATTTTCAAAGTATAATGCGGGTTGCGTGACCGAACGTCACCGTCGCCATCTCAAAACGAGCGGCGTCAAACCGGTTCGCCGATATTAAACTATTTTCCCATGTTACCGGCCCGGCGTTGGAAAAAATGATCGTTATGCGTTAAGTCGTGCCAATATAATTGCCGTACGACCAGCTTTCCATCCGTATTTTTATCCATGAGATTATTTTGCACTCGTCTAAACCGGTTCAATTTCCTGACAATTTAATGATTTCACCGGTCGATCGGCCATCTTGCAACTAATTCCAAGTCTTCGTTAACCATCGAGTCGATATTTATCACATTGTCGATTCTGAAAAATTAAACATTTAGATTTAATTTTAAATATTATTAACTCGATATGGATCGAAATTTGATTTTTTATATCCTTAAATTTAAAACTTTTCGAAAATTCTTTTATTTTCTTTTTTTTCTTTCTCTTTTTTCTTATAAAAAAATCTGTATATTTACCACAGCAATATTTATCGATATTGGCAATATTATTCATCGTATATGTAATTCCTTTAGAAATAAATTCTTATCAATTAAAATTTCTTACGAAACTTCTTATTTATAATCATTGTTTATCTAGAGAATCGTAAAATTGAAATCGTAAAAAAACTTCAAGATTCGAAATCTCGAAACATTTTAAATTTTGGATTTAAAGATTGTATCATCCTTGATACTAACGTGTAATTTTATTCCCCATCGTCTATTCTTTAGATCACGATACGAATGTATCTGAATCGATACCAGAGCTTGTAAAAATTTTCAAGACAGAATGTCTTAATTGACTCAGGTTTTAAACGTTCCACTCGAAACACCTGATATATCCGTGAAGAAGCGACGCCCGTTCGAAGAACCTCATCGATAATTAGAAAACACAAGATCGAACTCTGTCTACGTGTACAACGACTCGTTTCACGATACGGAACTGCCCTCTTGGGTGAATAAACCCATAGATATAATGCATGGACATCCAGTCGGGCGAGCCATGCGATAAGATATAGAGAGACGGTGCACAAAGTCCCTTGGGACCAGTTGAGGTCTTAATTACTATCCTCTCATGCTGGAATGCCGCGTTATCGTGCGGTTACTTCTCTGTCCGCTCGTGTATACGTCCATAGGTCCGACATTGAATTACACTTTCCTTTTTGGTGGACCTTTACCGTGGATATCACCGTTGGGTAAACGTGTTAATTACTCGTGACACTCGAAAGTTCTGAAAGACGAGCGGGGAATTAAGTATTTAGAAGAAGTTTTTCAAAGGAATATGAAAATATAAAATAAATTCGCAATACGAATGTTCCACAGAAATGCAAAAAATATCGATGCGAAGATTTCTGAACGCGAAATTCATATGCAATGTACGAAAAATTATGGTAAAATGTCAAAACGAAGAAATTTTAAAATGTTTTCGTTATTAACTCGTTATTATGCATTTATCTTCGTGATTAAAGAAAAATTTTATAATAAATTATTCCATCGATTTAATAAATTTATATTTTATTATAATATAGTATCTTGTAAAAGATACAATCGCTATATACATACAAAGTTAATACAGG